CTTGGCCAGCTGCACCCCAAAGGCCTGCGCTCCTGCGCTGTGGTCATGTCAGCCGGCGCCATCCTCAACTCCTCCTTGGGGGAGGAGATAGGTGGGTGTCATGCGGTGCGGGTGGGGAGGTGGGGGACTCTGGTCCCCGTTCTGGGCCAAGTGCGTGATTAGCGGCTGGTGCTTTCTCTCTTTCTCTGGTTCCCTCCAGGGCAGCCTGGACATAGCACTGGATGTTTCGGACATTAGCTGGAGACTGCTTTTCTCTAGCTGGGACTGAGTGGACCCAGCAGAGGTCCACTGAGCAGTTTTAGAGCAGAGTGTGCTCCCAGAGTTGGGTCCAGGGGAGTGGAAAGCCGATCATCCCTGCCTTTTGCAGGGAGACCCTCCTGCTTTCTTAGAAACTATGCTCCCGTTGTTAGTCTCCCAGCCTGGCCCACAGAAGCTGATGAACCCATAGTGTGGTAGAGCTTTGAGGAGCAAATGGGGTACGAAAGGAGAGCAATCCCCGCGGGTTAAGTGAGGCAGCTCCACAGAGACGTCTCTTGAGAATGATTGTAGTTAGTCCGGGACAAAGCCGCTGTTGTGGGCTTTGAGGAGGGTCTGCTGCCGGAACAACAAGAGTTCTGGCCCTTTGGCACAACTCTGACCTTTGGGTCACGGCCAGTGCACCTAAGCAGGGCCCTTCTCCAAGATGGTGAATAACAGGACCACACCTTCCTCCTATCTTCCCTTAAGAACTATCTTTAAATCCATGCCAGGAGCCTGGGGGAACGCTGCTTCATAGTTCCCGGGTTAGGGATGGGATATACATGTAGAGAGAAAGGGGCTTATTTTAAGGACTTGCTCCTGTGGTTGTGGGGACTGGCAATTCTCAAGTTTGAAGGGCAGGCAGGTAGAAAATTCAGGTAAGAGTTGAATCTGGAGCCTGAGATCTGGAGGATGGGTTGGTAGGTGGAAAGTCAGGCTGGGCTTCTCTAATTCATCCAGATGCAGAATTTCCCTTCAGGAAATATCAGTCTTTGCTGTAAGGACTTAGACTTCCCTCTCTGCCCAGGCCAATTCTATTGCTGCACCAGTGAGCAAGCAGCTTGGCCCTGTAAGCCCATTAACTCACTTAACCTGTGTGCTTAGCCCTACTGTGTGCCAGCTCCTGTACTGGGTGCCAGAGAACAAATGTGAGTCACACACAGCCTCAGCCTGAAGTATGAATGTGAAGCAACTGAGTTTAACACATGCTCACAGTAGACAGTGTTACTCGTAACTAATCTGGAAGGACATTCAGGGGGCAGCTGTTGTTTCCTGGACCCATTCGCTGTTCTGTGTCCTTTAGGAGTGGTTGATGTCCTGACCATCTTAAAATGGGGTGGTGCCATCGTGATCAAGCCCCAAAACCCAGACCTCATTTGAATGTGAAATTTTTTAAAAGTTAAAATAAGCAAGACACAAGTCTAGACTTGAGGACTGGGGTCCCAGAGTCCCTATGCTGACATTACTGCAGGCCCATAATAACACTGTCCATGTGTCACATAAACGTGCAGCCTGCAATTGATTAGGAAAAGCAGTGGTTAGAGGTCCCTGGAGTGCAGTAACACCACAGTTCCTTCTCGTTTCCAGGGCTATTATTAATAATGTACGAAGGAATTTAAGCATTATGCTGTAAAGCAGGCCGTAACTAGCTTCTGGTTTGGTTTTGCTGTGTATTAAACACCTCTGCACCACAGCTGCCCATTTGGAATTTTCTCACATGTCAGGGAGAATTCCCCTGCTCCTTATTGTCGCATAAATGTCTCCGACCAGGGTTTCATAAACTCTATGCAGAATTTGGACTAGAGTGTGAAAGACACTGGGCATTACATGTTTTGGGGGAACGTGAAATGTCATATCTTTGTTAATTTCTAGTATCCAAATTTAATTTATATTGTCTGCACGCACATGAAGCTTCCCGATTAGAATTGTCTAATATATACTCAGAATCTTAACTGAAAAACACAAGTTTTTAAAATTCTTTATTGTTTTGTCTAGGTTCTTTAGAATCCAGTTTTGTACCTACCATCTTAAGAATAGGTTATCATAGCATAACACAAGTTGTAAAAACAAAATGTCCTTCATTTTTATAAGCTGGTATCTCTTACCATCAGCACTGGTACAGTGTGAGGTGGTGCCTTCTCCTTTCTGCTCACCAGGAATGTGGGAATGTGCATGTGCTTATCAACACAGAGTTGTTAAGGGCTCTCTTAATAAAAACAAGTCACTAGCAGATTCCTCCAGGCAACTTGGAATATTGGGGCATGCTGTACTATTTAGCTAAATTCATCTTGACCTCTAAAAATCTCTTGTGGCTTGGCTAAGTGAAGATCAAAAGACTTACCAACATAATTTTATGAAAAACTGAGAGCAGAGCTATAAAAGTACCTGGGGCTAGCTCCATGTCAGCACTGCCAGGAGGCCCCTCAGGCAGAACTGTGCCTGAAGGCTTAGCAGTCACATCCCCAGCCCCAGAGGAAGACTCTGTGAGCCTCTGATTTCTTCGCCTGCTGGCTTCCTCTAGCTCCCTCTGCTGGTCCTATTGGCAGTGCAGTCCTTTTTCCAAGTTCTGTTAGACTGAGTCATGCCCTGTAATTATTTTTAAGAACATTGTAGCAGTTGTCAAAAACTCCCTGTTAAATGTGTTATTGAAAAGCAAACTGAACTGTTTTGGAAATGTGGAACATTTTTTCCTAGAATCATTGAAATCTTTCTTCAACCACACATATAAATAATAATTTGGTAGCGAGATCATCTGCCAGCAGTCCTGTGGAAACTCCCTACAGAGGAGAAATGTCTGCTCTGAACTAAAATTGGTGGCCTCGATCTGGGAGATCAGGATCTGTGTACTTGAAATACAAATTCTGGGAAGCCTGTGGGAAATGGGAGAGGGCCTATATAAGGAGTGGAGCCCCTGTTTTGTTACCTTTAAAAAAGCAAGAAAGACATAAAGTTATTTAGCAAGATTGAGTATTTATTGATCCCCACCTCTCTGAGGCCTGATAACTATGCTAGCTACTAGAGACACAAAGATGAATAGGGACCTAGACCTCAAACACCCTGCATTCGGTGGAGAAGACAGACTACGAACAGGCAGTGGTTAGGAGGAGAACTGAGAGAGGTGTAGACTGACAGGGAAGACAAGGGAATCCTAGCCCACGGTGAGGGCTGGTGGTTGGACAGAGAGAAGGTCAGCAAAGACTGCCTAGAGAGGGGAATCCAGGCCAGAGTGCAGCGAACTGCAGGGCACCACTGGTGAGAGGGGAGAGGAGAGAAGGCTGGACAAGTGGCAGGAGGTCAGCTCCCAGATGTTTTTGTGCATCATTCCCAGAAATTAGACTTCACTAAGTAATTGTTATCATAGGTACCACTCAGTAGGGTGTTTACAGCAGGTTCAGTACCAAATGCTTTTATGTGTTAACTGCTGGAAGCCTTACAGCCTGAAGTTATAGATACAGTTATTCCTGTTTTATGGATAAGGAAATGTAGACACCTGGAAGGCCCAGTGGGCAGAGCCTGGATTCCATCAGACTCCAGTCTGAGTCTCCAGGAACTCCAGCTCTGACCCTGGGCCTGTGGTCAGAGGCACTGCAATGTTTGAAGCAGAGGGTTGATGGGTCAACTTTTTATTTTAGAGAGATTGCTCCAGAGCCTAGATTTGAAGGCATGAAGATATAAGTGCCATTGCAGGAGTCCCAGGAGAGGTGAGATAAAGTCGGAGAGAGATGAAGTCCCTAAGGACTGCAGGCTTTTGCTTGCTTACTGGTACAGATTTCGTGTACTGGGTGTGTGGGGAAAAGGAGGAGGAGAATGAGGACCCAGTGCCCAGGGCAGGACAGTAACGGAGGGCTCCTGCACCTCTTGGCTGGCTGCTCCTCAGACAGCCTTAATGTTCCTTCAGTGAGTGCACTTAGCCTGGCTCTGTTCTCAAGGTCAACACGAAATGGCTCTCCCCTGAAAAAGCCTTCTCCAGAACGATTCTTTACACTCCTTGTGCTTGCTGTCTGATCTCTTTCTTCTCTTCTAAATGTGAACAGACAGCATAGTTTTTAAGGCACATTTATCAAGGTGGTGCACACACAGCCAAACAGACGTTTACAAAACACGCTGCCTGATGGGCGCACTCTCAGCTCATCCTCCCCATTCGGCTCACTGACAGCTTTAAGAAGGGTCATCCCAGCAGCTGCCAGCTCTCCCTCCAGTCTTCCTCCACAAAACTGGCCCTTTAGCTCTTGACTCACTACATTACATGGCTGTGCCCTGTGCCTGTGAAGTCATTTGCAGTCTTAAAATGCACCTCAGTTGCCGGGAGCCGGTCCATCCTTGCTGTTTCAAGGGACCTGGCATATATGGCATACTGTTCTTAATATGTTTGCTCACCTTCTTGGCGCTGTGTTTTAACCAAGGTCACCTCTCTGAGAAAGGTTGTTTCCCCAGGTAGGGATTTTCCCATGAAGTTAGGGAGGGAATAAAACCTCTTAACTAAGTGCCAGATGGGTAATTAATCACTTTAACTATGAACAATCATGCTTAAGCTACATAATCTTTACCCCCTGGAATGGAGAAAAGAACATGGCTACAGAACCTGGCTGGAGAACCTGGAGAACCTGGCTGGAGAACCTAGCAAGAGAACATGGACACAGAACTTGGCTGGAGGTTGTGGCTAGAGATCCTGGCAAGGCTGCTGATCAATTGAACGCTGTCTCCGTGCCATTCCTTCTTCGCCGACTCCGTCCACACCTTTGGGGACCCCTGGACCTGCTGGGGTTGGACCCCAGCACTCAGTGGAACTCTGGCATTTAAAAGCTGTGACATTTTCAGGGGTGATGCAATGAGTTTGGAATTGCCTGATTAATTTGAAATGCAGCCACTGCTTAGGTGCCTTGGCTTGTTGACCTCAGCCTCAGACAGAGCTGCCTGGGGGCAGTGTGGTCCAGTGGGAGACCTGTGCAGTAGGAATGCTGACGCTGCCTCGCCCTGGGGTGCTGACCACCTCTCAGTGCCCAGAGCTTACCTCCCTGCTTGCAGCCTGCACTCACGGACCACCCTGCCAGGCAGGGTTGCCTTAGGTCCAAGTTTACACAGTGGGGTCTGCTTACACTTGGGGAGTCTAAGACTCAGGGATCCACGAAATGAAAACTATTTTTATAATAATACTCAAAGGTTTTTTTAACTGTTGACATTCGCATTGATGTTGCAAAAGCATTGGCAAATAAAATGCTTCTTAGTACAAATCAAGGCAGCAGGCCCAACTCTGTTGGGCACGGCATTTTCGCTGCCAAACTCAGCAGTAAAAGCAAAAAGGGCCAGGTTCACTTACAGATGTCCTTCATGAAATAGTGAAAATTGTTGATTTTATTAAATCTCAGCCTCTGAGTACCTGTGATTTTGGGGCCCAGGGGAAAATATCGTGAAAAGCACTGTGTGTGCTGGCACACCAGGAAGAGCCTCTGTGTAGCTTGTGAGCGGAATGAGCCGTTTTATTACTGAAAACACATTTTACCTTGAACAAATGGCTAATTGACTTTATTCAGTCTTCGACATTAGCAGAAATTCTCAAAAACTGATTCAGTGAGCCTATCACTTTTAGGAAAATAACTGACAGTGTTGGTTGCCAATGATAAAATTCAGGCTTTCAAGCTTGAGCTTGATATAATTTATAACAAAATGCATCAATATTTGGAAGATCTGGGTAACTTACTGAACTGATAGTCTCAGGTGATCATTGCACAGTGTTACAGAATTATGCACAGGTGAATCATCAATTTTAAGAGCAAGATAAACTGATGGGTTTTAATGTAACAGCATGAAAAGTTCGTTGATACTGTGTCACATTCCTCATTGCGGCCACCTTTTATAAACTAGCACTTATCAAGTTTTGATGAAGTGTCAGAGAAGACTATTCCCAGTAATTTGCAAAGACTTCAGATATTTCGCCCATTTCCAGTGATACATCTGAGTCTTTACATACTTCAACTAAAGCAATACATTGCAGCAGACTGTGTGCACCAGCAGCCAGGAGAAGCCAACTGTCTTCTGAAAAGTCACTTATTAATGAGGTTTGCAAACATTTAAAACAATACCAGTCTTCTCACTGGGTTTTTTTTTTTTTGGTTTTTTTTCATTTTGAAAATGTATTTTACATAAAAATGTTATTTTAAATTAAATAAACATTTAAAGTTTTTCTATTTTACTTTCTAATATTGATGCAGTTCAAATAAACATAATGCCTTTGGGTTGTCATACATTTTCAAGAATGTAAAGGGGTCCTGAGACCAAAAAAAGAGTATCTAGAGCAGTGGTTCTCAACCTTCTGGCCCTTTAAATACAGTTCCTCATGTTGTGACCAAACATAAAATTATCTTCGTTGCTACTTCATAACTGTAATGTTGCTACTGTTATGAATCATAGTGTAAATATCTGATATGCAGGATGGTCTTAGGCGACCCCTGTGAAAGGGTCGTTCGACTGCCAAAGGGGTCACGACCCACAGGTTGAGAACCGCTGATCTAGAGAGTGGCAAACTTCCTATTCTTAGGAGCCAGGTAGTAAATGTTTTGGGCTTGGTGAGTCACAGGGTCTCCCAGCTCAGCTCTGCTGTTACAGACAATAGATACACAAGTATGTCTAGGTCACAGCACAGCTTTGTTTACTAAAACTGGTGGCAGGTCATAGCTTGCTGACTATTGAAAAATTTCCCCTAAAAGAACATTGCAGGACTTTTTGATGACTGAGCCAGGTACCCTTTATGCATTGTTTGTATTCCAAGAGTGTTGATTTGGTGCTCAGAACTGGACTCTGAAATCTTCTGAATCCAATGCTTGTCAAGAGAGGCACCTTTTGTAACATGGTTTTAATGGTGGCACACATGTCAAGTTTCTACTACTTAGGGGGTAGAAGGGTCTCTCCCAAGAAGACTCCGCAGGAGCAGATAGACTCAAGTGGAGAATGGGAGCTGCTTTAGGGACTTGAGTGAAGTGTGGTCACTGTAAAGGTGGCATGTGTCCACAAGACTTTTTGGCAGATCAGAAATGCATAATTCACCTCATTCCCTCACAAAGAGGCAGTGTCATTGCTCCAAGTTGAACCTGAAATGTGCATAGAATTTTTGAAGCTAAAAGTAGCCTATGGAGATTCCGTTATTGCTGATTAAGTCTGATTTCAGGCTTGTCTCTGAAAAATGAATTACTTAGCACAGGAAATTTCAAGACATGTATACAGACTGCTCTGTGGAAAGAAAACAAACACATCTCCCATTCCATCCCTTAGTCAGATGGGAGCCCACTTTCCCTGACTTCTAGTTCTTGTCTCCCTTGTCAGCCTCTATGATGTGGGAGCCATCTTTTGGGACCTCAAAGAACTTGGGAAAGTCTGACTTTTGAGTCAAATGAAGGGAGACATGGTGAAGCTCCATGGACCACGATGTGCCCGATGGACTATAAGTAGCATTGGTAGCTGGTGCCTCCCTTCCTCCAGGGCGAGGCAGTAAGGTAGGCCATTGCTGGAAAAGGAAGAATGCACTAAGACTGCTCTTGTGTGGGTCTTCTTGGCATTGTCAGCAGTAGGTAAAGATGCACAGAAACTACGGCTGGTTTTCTTTTATAAGCACAAACCAGCACCCAAAAGTGGTCAAGATACAGTGAAGGCTGTGGGTCTGACTGTGAGAGACACGCTTGATCTTGGTGCAGGCAATGGCATTGGAGGCAGCAGGAGCAGCCTCCACTCCCTGCAGCAGTGAGAAGCCACGGTGAGCAGCCTGTTTGTAGCGTCCTGTCCCCATAGATTCCATCTTCAAAAAGTTTTGGAGTCTTTAGGAGAATGGCTGCAGAAAGCATGTCCCCTTGTAAAGATGTGGACACGTAAGCATCTCTGAATTACTTAGATGCCACAGGACCTGCTGTAATTGCATGGATTGTGCCTCCATGCTGATCTGCCCCTGGCAGGATCTCATTCTAAATAAACAGTATGCTGAAAATGTGTCCATGGGTCTCTTCATTGTTGGTGTCTGATTAGCTTCCGGTTTAAAAGATTCACTTTAAGATATCTTCCTAGATTATGTTTATTCTACAGATAGAAAAAATGTGAGAGTGTCATTTATGTGCCCCTAGATTCTCATGATGCAGTCTTGAGATTTAACGCGGCTCCCACCCGTGGCTATGAGAGAGATGTTGGGAATAAAACCACTGTGCGCATCATTAATTCCCAGGTAAGATGGATGGAATGCTTGCATGGATGTGTGTTCTATAGGTAAATAGTTTAACTGGACAAGTGAAAAGAAATTACCCAGAAAATCATGATCATGATTTTCCTTATTTCTATGGATCTTGTAATTATAAACAATTAATGAGGAAAAAATGTAGAGAAATGGGAATTTGTGTGTGACATGAATAGGAAAAAAATGAGAAAATAAGCTCAAAAGAAAAAAAAGTTTATATATATATATATATATATGACTTACCATGTTGCATCATGTGGATTTCAAAGGATGTTAAACTTACAAGAAGTACTGGCCAAGAGAAAGCAGGGGATGGAGGAGAGAAAAGCAAAGGTACAAAATTCAAGGGTAGTAGGGTAGCTTGAAACTTTAGTCTGTTATTTGAAAATTTTAAAAATGAAAATGGATGTTGAATTGAAAATAAAAATATCTCTTTTCTTTGTATTCTTAATAAGAATGTTTCCCAAATTTGTAGCGAAATTATTCTCAGAACAAACCACAATGATTTCTAGAGTTTCAAACTATATAGAAAAATATGAGGTGATGAATGATTTCTGATGAGTTGGTTGCAGAACAAAAGATTAGATTTCTGCCTAGTACCCTGAGCCAGGCAGCACACAGCAAGGTAAGAATGATTAGCACATTTCCTTCATTTATAGATGCCATTGATTATAAGATTCACCATTCATTTAATAACAGCTTTTCAGAGAGGAGGAGATAACCTTCATCAAATTAAAATACATGTCACTATAGGATAACTTTTAACTACAGAACCATTAAAATGTGAAGAAAAAAAGTACATCTTAGAAACTGAATAATTGCACCTTAAAACTGAAATCACATTATTTTTTCTCAAAAATGTAATTTGTAAAAAAAGATGATTGGCAGGTGAGATTGAAGAACTCATCCAGACTAGACAGGGCCCCAGAGGAAATGGCCACCCAGGCTGACTCGGGTTTGCTGGCTCGCTGTGTCCCCGTTGTTCTAGGCTGGCACGCTGAGGCACCCGCAGAATTCAGTTCATCCACATCTGCAGCTCTCTCCCAAGTTACCTGTGAAGACAATTGGAGAAGGTTGTGGGGCCCTGAATTAGCTAGGTTACGTCTTTCAGGAGCTGATTTGATTTCACTAGATATGAGTACAGTGCTGGGTGCAAATGTAAGAACTGGGGGATTTAAAAACAAACAAATAACAAAACCTCATTTCCCCAAACATTTTTTTAGGAGCTTTAGCACGCGATGCCAGCCTCTCTCCGTCCCCGAGAGGAAAACAAAGCTGAGGGACAATTTAAAAATGGATCAGAGCAAGGAAAATTTTTTTTCATCTCTTTTTAAAATATGATTTTGAAGAACCAAACACTTGCTTTGAAATTATTTTTCTATGTATTTGCAGATTCTGACCAATCCCAACCATCACTTCATTGACAGTTCATTATATAAAGATGTCATTTTGGTGGCCTGGGACCCTGCTCCTTATTCTGCAAATCTTGACCTGGTAAGTCTTCATTTGTCACCCTTACCCTGATCCTAGTGGTCAGAAGGTGCCTTTGACTGATTACTCATGGGAGCAAGTCAAGGGTTAGCTTTGATCGACATTATGAAACTGATCGTGGGTGCTGCTTAAATACATGTGTGCCATGCCATCTTGATACCCTCTTCCCATAACATGCTTGGTGAGCATTGTCCATCTAAAAAGGGCTTTTGCTGTGGAGGATTTTTTTTTCAATGTCCAATGTCCAAATGTTCAGAAATTCCTAGTTACACTGGAGGTTGGGCTGATTAAACTCAAAATATTCCCATTATGATAGGGTTACATTATCTTCCAAGAAGTTACAGACCTTTTGAAATAAATTGGAAGTGCTTGGCAAGAAAAATCTAAACTTGTGTATCACCAGTTTGTTATTTAAATGAACCTGTTACAGGCTTTCCTTAAGTGGGTCACTCTGCTTCAGCTTCTCAACCTGTTTAATCTTGTGATGCATAAACAAGATCATTGCTAGCCATCAAAATGTAGGCAGCTTATATGCACGACTTTGTGGCAAGTCCCTGGCTATCTAAACAAGCAGCCAGTTACTTCTGGTAAAGCCTGGGAGGAAGAGCCAGTGTCTCCGGAAGATGGATGATAATTTCACCATGGCAGATGCTGTCCACTGTGCCAATGAGTGTCTTTTGATTTGCTTTGCTGTGACTCAAGAGAATGCAGTCTTGTGGAGGGGACTGATCTTGGCTCTTCCACAACTCCCCCCTCACCCTCCCCGCCACGAGAGATATCTTTCTAAGAGAGCTGCCCAGGGTTGATGGGTTCCTCTGAAAGGAGTGTTCTGTCTCTGTTCCTCATGAAGCTGGATCTTTACCTAGGGTGATTACTAACCACTTTAACCAGGATTGAAATCAGAACCATCTGGAGAGGATTTTTTTTTAATTAAATCTTTATTGTTCAGATTATTACATTTGTTCCTCTTTTTCCCCCCATAACTCCCCTCCTCCCAGTTCCCGCCCCACCC